GTAACTTCATTGTGCAGTATCATAACAATTGAATATAAATGAAACGGAGCAATCCAAACATCATACATTGAGATAACAAACTTACATTGTTTACATATTGTATTTGTTCTTCGAGTTACACAAAAGAGACATAAGTAGAAAAATCCAAACTACAGCTAAATAGTCCTGCATCTGCGTCCCTTGTCACCTGCTTACTAGATCCCTGAGAATACAAGTCGTTTTGAAAAGCGTCAACTAAAAAGTTGGTGAGTTCATAAGCATTTTTGTATAAAATCGTTTACACTTGTTTTGAAACGTTCTTATTGTACTTTCAGAAAATCCGTTATTTTCTATGAAATCGTTTGAAGTCTTGCCTTGAAAATCATGGATATATGTGTGCATGTCATTACTTTTATTCATCCTTATAAGGAGTGATTTTGAAAAAGTAGGGTGATTTGTAAAAGCGAGCTGTGTACGAAAATAGTTCTTTTGAATAGTAATAGTCAACCGTTTCCAGAAAAATCCCTTATTTTCAAAAAGAGAATATGGTTGAAAATCTCGTTCCTCTTATCGAGAAAAATTGAGTGTGCGTTCTAGTTTATCGTTATCGAAATCGTAGAAAATCATTTTCTCCAGAAAATCCTATATTTTCTGCTATAAAATATTCGTAAGTTCTAGTTCCAACTATGTATATGTGTGGGTTAATTTATCGTTTTCAAAATCGTTTACAAACGTTTTCCATAGAGTTCTACGCTTTTTAATTTGTAAAATAGCAGTATTACGACTCTATACTTGTTAGGAGAAAGAATCAACATGGCAATTGTGGACATTATACGTGATGAAAATGGACAGTCAACGCAAAAAATGCGGACCATCACTTATCATGCATAGGACGGTCAACACAACGTGCCAAAATTTATTTACGAGGTTTTTCCTTACATAAATTTCTAGATGACATAACATATTCTAGTGAGCCGTTATAACCATACTAATCTGACGGAGTGCCTGTTTTGGCGTTTCTCAGGTGCCCTCGGTTTGGAAAAGACATTTGTCACCCTAGACTGGCCTGTCTAGCTGTAGCGAACAGCGAAGGTGCGGGGTGTCAACCCCGTATAGATCTATACACAAATTCCTGCTCTCCCTCCAGGAGACTCTGGCTATAACTCCTTACAGGACTTAGACGTACACTAATATTTTTATATTTAGGTACTTTTGAGATTTGTCTGACTAGAATATTAACAACCTTTTGAGCAATCGTTAGAGGTCCATTATTTGTTAGATAAATAATGAAATTCGTACTTATTGAATAGAAATATCGTTCTCGTTCCATATCGTTGATTGTGCTCGTTAACTAGGTGCTCGTGTTCGTTCCTTTTCGTTTATTGAAAAAAAAAATAAGTCATTTTAGTCAAGAGAAAAAGTGTCAAGTTATAATTTTTATAAATTTATAACTGCCGGTTATGACACGCAATTTCTGTTTTATGACATATAGAACATTATTTATGTTGTTGGAGGTTTTACGACAGCAGTTTATGGCATGCAAATATTTCTGTCATAAAGGCTCTATTTGTGTATTTTCTTGACGCAAACTTTTATATTGAATATTTATAAAATATTCCCTGATAGCTTGCAAAATAGTCACAAAGTTCCCATTTTCGAAAATTACTAGAAAAGTGTCAACTTATCAAGGTCCATTTTTATAAGTTTTATCTCTAGACATGAAGGCATAGATAAAGGGGTTAAGTTGGACACACCCAATAGTTAGGAGGCTCTTTTGTACACAATGTATCCTCTATTCTTTATGAAGTTGTGAAATCTTACGTTTATGAGAATATTACTAAAATAATAATTTAATAATATTTCACACACACATACAAACATACGTATATATGTAATTATTCAAGTATTTAGGCAAGATTTGACTTGTACTCTCCCCCAAAAGCATTAAAATATTGAAAATGTGGGGTATGAAGCTCACCTTGAGTTGGTTGAGGAGTTGTTTGGAGTGGTGGAGTGGAGATTCCAAGCCTAAACTTTGGCTGAGATGAGGAACTTCTCTGGGGAAAATGTTTTCTTTAAGGTAATTATCACATATTATTATGAATAAATAATATGGATTCATCTTGAAATATTATAAAATATTAGATGAGTGGGGAATTTACCTTACAATTTCCCAGGAAGAAGTTGAGAAACTTCATTTCAGCAAGATTCCTTGTTCTTGCTTTGGAGATGAGTATGTGAGAGAAGATGAGAGGAGTGAGAGGAAATGGAAAGCCCAAACTTTCTTCTACTGTCGTTGCTTAAGAGTATAAGAAAAGGAAGGGAATCTTTGGTGCATGGGGATCTGGTGGTCCATGCATGGATATCTGGTGGGTAAAGCATGGGATATTGTGATTTGCATGGGTATTGAGGATTTCATCAAATCACAAAGTCAAACTTCCTTGTCCTTTTCTTGATTTAGGATAACGTTTTCCTACATCCTAAACCTTTTATTCTTATGTAGATATAATTTAAATGATTAAATTTGGTATAAAATAGAGGTTTTAGGGGTCTTAGTTAAGAAAAACACGAGTTTGGTGGGATTCCCGATCCCAAAATACCCCAAAATGGAGAAAAGGTCCGAAATAGTCCAAAATCCGGAGCTAAAGGATGAATTCCAGAGTCATAAGGTGAAATCTGAAGCTGTAGTTCAAATTCTGGAGGGAAGGGTCGGGTCTGCGAGGTTCCGAAGTGGCTGGCAAGGAGTTCCGGAGCAAACAGCCAAGTTTTCGAAGCTCTTCCATTTCCGGAGTACTCCCTTCGGATGCGAGGCCAGCTGATCCGGACTGAAGTTGCGAGGCAGGTTAAGGATTTCCGAGGAAACTGAAGTGTCCGGATGAGAGGCTTATTCTGGAGTGAAGCCTTCCGGAGTGAGGGAGGTTCCGAAGCAAAGGAGGTTCCGAAGTGTAATTCCTCTTGGCTCCTTAGAAGGTGTTCCGGACCAAGAGGGTTCCGGACCAAGAGGGTCCTTTTGGGGTTTCCTCTTCCGGTTTTGAGCTGTTTTCGACTGAGGAAGGTACTTAGGGAGATTTGAGAGAGATTTGAGATACGTGAAGAGATTTGGGAGAGATTTCACATACTTGGAGAGATTTGGGAGAGATTTCACATACTTGGAGAGATTAGGGAGAGATTCACTATGCTTGGAGAGATTTCGCATACTTAGAGAGATTTGGGAGAGATTTCACATACTTGGAGAGATTTGGGAGAGATTTCACGTACTTGGAGAGATTTGGGAGAGATTTCACATACTTGGAAAGGTTTGGGAGAGATTTCACATACTTGGAGAGATTTGGGAGAGATTCACTATACTTGGAGAGATTTGCATTCTAACACTTTATGGCTCCTTAGGAACCTATATTGAACACTTAGGTGTGTTAGCACAAGTCTCACAATAGTCCTTCCTTATTTGAGGATGAAATTTCCTAGCCAAAAAGGCTAGTTGTGACAAACACTGATTCATTTAACTGGAGTAACATGACTGACAGATCCATTTACCCAGCTTGTTATGAGTATGATACGGTATAAATGTATTTTTATTACATTACCTACGTAATAGTCATTTATAATATAGTGTTAGTTGATGATTAATTAATTCCAACCTTTTGTGCAGCTTTACATCCTTATCAATATACCAAGGGCTTACTAGTTTTTGGATGTTTTGGATTTCAAGAAATTCAAAATGACTGTATACGATAATCACTTGTGGATGGCTATTGTTCAGAAGATCAGTCTTGGTTTATAGTTATGTGAGTCCGCATCCACAAACTGCTACTGGGTATCAACTACTGAGATACCAAATCAACTGATGCAATCCTCATTGAGAGTTTTAAAATGACCCTTAAAAGGCCCCAGACCACAAGTGGTTGGCAGTAAAGGGGATTGTGTGGTGTTTCTTTGTTGGTTTATAGAGATGTTGATTCCGGAGAAAGCGTATTTGATAGAGGGTGAACCCGATATATGAGTCATGTCATATCGCAAACGATTTGCGGAATTTTTTTGGGTACGAGGATAATTTAAGTGGTATGTCATTTGAACATTTGAACATTGTAGTATTATGTAAAACTCTCTTAACTTTATTCATAACTTTTTGTAAATTTTAAATTTTATTGTTACTTTTAAATAAAACCATAAATAAACACACATACAATATTAAATAAATAAAAAAAAAAAAAAAAAAAAAAAAAAAAAGAAACCTTACTTATACGGAATCCTAGTCCGGTATCCCGGAGCATGTTTTGGAATTAACTATCCTAAACAAAGTGGTTATTTTACAAAAATTAAAAAAGGAAAATTATAGTTATTTTTTTCAAAAACTTTATTTGTATGGGTTAGATTACTCAATTTCCCGAAAGTGTATTACAACAATCAACCAGCTATATGTATCTCTACGAAGATATTTATGAAACCGTAGAAAAAACATGTTTTTTTAAAGCAGCAAGTCTAATTGTCATTTTCAAGAAGTGGTTGGAACCTATCATGAACCCATCTATAAAACTAAATTCGTTTTTAGGGGATTATGTTGTTACATTTACAAAGTCACCATGAAAGTTATCATATGTGACACTTGAACATTATCTAACAAATTAGGTTGTATTTGATTCCTCAGATTCCAAGATTTGTCCAGAATTAGAATTCAATTCCCTTTTCAATCCCACGTTAGGTTACATAAATTAAGTAATTTAACTCCATTAAAATTCACAAAATCTTTCAACGATAGAGTTCAACCATCATACAAAAACATACGATTTCCAGCATTTACTCCTTGTTAAAAATACTAGATTATCATTTCAATCCTAGCATTTCTTACAAAGTTTAAAATTCTAATCCACCAAAACATCCTGCAAACCAAACACCCTCAAGTTCATTTTATGTTCGATCTTAAAAGTTTCAAACTGAAGTGAAACATTTCTCAACAATTCCTTTTCTAACGTATTAAAATATAGCAAAAGTCAGTCTTACATGACATAGGCATTAATTAATATCCCGCGTATGAGGAGTTGCTATTTTAGGAAAAATTGTTATGCCACCAGCTATACAATAAAATTATACATATATAAATATATGTAAGAGGAAAGTTCAAAAAAAAAGTGTAGCTTTTGTGTACTGAGTCACCCCTTTTAGAATTTTAAACAAATACATGAAAAACCAACACGCTTAATTGTATAATGTATATATATACAAGATACAAGATTAGTCAGTCACTCCAGTTATCCTCATCAAGTGCAGGAGGCTTCCCTGTTCTTCCATCCCATTCATCCTGAGTGTCATTAAATTGTAATTTAATTTAAATCATGATTGCATCATTAAAATTACAAAAATAAATTGTAATTTAATTAAATCATGAAAATTTTTCATTGCATCGAGTGAAAAAAAAAAAACACCCTCTGGCAAATGAAAAGTAACAAAATGGAAGGAATCACGTTCCTGAATGGTCCATTCCATTCTATAGAACAAAAACAAGAATGTGCTTTTCATTCCAATGGAATAAACCATTCCATTCCACTCCTTTCCTGATTCCATCATACCAAAGGAGGGAGGGGGGTATTAAGTATAAGAGGTAGTGGCATACAACATCTTGAGAAATCAACTTTGGAGGAGACCAGATAAGGATTTGTCTGTCATTTCCACCTGTGAATAGTTCCTGTAAAGAGACCACACAGATTAACATTTTAATAAATAAAAATAATAAAAAATACTTGGCCTAGTTGAATGAAAAGTATTTCAATTTACACAAGCAACAAAATAAACCTAACATTCTATAAACAAGTGCTATTTTTCAATAGACAATCTTGCCTGCTGACGTGGCGTCAGAGAGAGGAGAGAGAAATCTACCTGATCATAGGCATTATAGCAACAGCAATTTACATGCTCATAGTGTCCTTGAAGTGTCATACTAGTCTTCCCTGACCACAGATCAAATGCCTAAAAGCATCCAGCAAACATATTTACAAATGAAAAAATATATTCAAATCGACTTTCTTGACTACTCTTCAAGATACTTAAGGCTGCGTTTGTAACATTTTATAGGGCTATTTCTAATGATAAGGATAAGGAGGGCATTTACGTTTTTTTGCACTGACAACAGATATAATTAAAGTGACGTACTTTGAGAGATGTCATGCATGGAACAAAGACAAGGGCAGAATCCTGAGTGACAGCCAACTGTATGGCTTTAGTAGTTTGCAATCGCGTAATCTCAAAGTGCACAAGTGTATTGCACCCAGACTCAATGTCCCACAATCTTAACCTTGAATCAGACCCTAAAACATATTCCACAAAATAACAAACCACCATCACCAATATTTTATCCATCAAACTACATTGATATAATAATAATAAATAAATAAATAAATAAAACCTGCACTTAGAAGATACATGCCATCTTCTGTGGCTTTGAGACCGATAACAGCACCATAATGAGCTGTAGCGCGATCCTGGCTGGACAACAACCCTGGATGGAGTCTCTGTTTTTGCTTCCTACTGCTGCCAGAGTGTTTTGAGGCGCTGCTGGAGGTGGCTTTTTTCTGTGGTGGTCGAGTCTTGGAGGATGAAGTTTGACCAGGTGTAAAGGATCTAGATGTTGTCACCTGACCAAAATCAAAAACAGAGACCATATCATAAAATGTAATATCAGATTTATGAACATGTAGGAGTTGACCTTCACTTCCATAAATGTTATGTAAGAAAGACATGTTATAGGGGTAATCTGGTCATTCCATCCAATAGATAATGCTTAATATGATTTATATCTTATGATGATACCAATACAATAATATGGTGTAATTTATCAATTTTAAAAAGGGCTTTTGACATAAAAGTCATTAAGTTTGTCAAAATGTGACAGTTTTGTCCCTGCAACGATTTTAGGTGTGTTAATGCCTACGGTTTGCCAAGCTTTTTTCATTTTTGCCCTTAAGTTTACAAATATTTTATGCTTTTACCCTAAGTATGATTTCCAAATTTGACATGAAAGTCCTTAAATTAGTCAAATTTTGTCGATGGAAACCTGCTATTACAGGTAACAAGGGAAAAATTGAAAAAAAAAAAAAAAAAAATGGCAAACATTGGATGTTAACGAACAAAAAATCATCAGAGGGGCAAAATTTGACAAACTTAAGGACTTTCATGTCAAAAGCCCTTTTAAAAATAAAAAATGTGACTTTCATTTTGTAAATAAAGATGTGTAACTTTCAACTTTTATTGAAAAACACATAGATGAAAGAAGCGAAACCTTAGTGGTGGACCTCTCAAGTAGAGGTGGACGCCTTCCAAGCTGAGAGTGAGATTGATCTAAAACAGAGAAACATCCTGCACGTCTAATATCCCAAAACCTTATTGCCCCATCACAACCTCCAGTCATCAAAACCCACTCACTACAAGCAGACCACTCCACTGCCATCACGCCATCTGTCATCACCACCAATCTTCTTTAATAACAATACACATAATTTCATACCCTTTTACAAATAATTCGAATAAAGATTCTTTAACAGAAGTATTCATATGTCTACAACACCATTAGCATACCACGATGACCCGACAATGTATGAGAAAATGCCCCTGAAGCCATATCACAAAGCCGAACCTGAACATCTTCAGTTGCAGCAGCTATAAGCATGTGAGATGTGGCTAATGAAGACATGCCTGTCCTATAAACTTTTCCTGGCATCTTAAAATCCATCACCACCTGTCCAAAAAAAAAACATCAATTTGAAATCAAAAAAGAGTTGTGAGAGTAAAAGAAAGAATCATATATGTTTTTACCTGTGAGGTATTGGTATCCCAGACATTGATGTGGTGATCGAATGAGCCTGTGACAAAAAGACCTGTATCAATTGGATACCATATGGCTGTGGATATGGCATATTTGTGACCATTTTGGTGCTGCTTATCGACATGGAGTATGGGCTTATGCTTAGCAATCAAACCACCTCCTTCATAGTCTGTTGCATGTTGGATATCATAGACAGCAAGTGATGCATCGGAAGCTCCAGATAACAAATATCTTCCCTCTGTCAAATCAACCTGATTTAATGATCAAACATACTGTCCACCATAACATCTAATCTAAATATCTAATAAACAATGTAATGTACAGAAGAATTTAATATATGACCTTCATTAGCCACTTGCTACAAAGCACAATTTGACAACAACAAAAGATGAAAAGTTGATTTCTAGTTCTAAATGATACTCCATTTGCCTAAAAGCCACAGCTGCACTTAGTTTTTAACTATATACAAAGGTTTATTCCAACATCTATACATGTTTCAAGTGTTTCAGTTCAGTTAGTAATTCACCACATCCTTGGATTTTTCAATTTTCAGGATTTATCACAAAACTATAATGATTAGGTTTGCTCAGTAAGTAGCGGTGGTACATATATAGCTCCATACGTGTTATATGTGTTTATCATAACATATATAGCTTTTTCCTTGATTTTAAGTAAGAAATTCACTTCTGGAAAGACGGAATAAAACAAAAGATTCAAATAACTAGAAGTGAAGTATAAGAGAAAGATAAACACCTGAAGCGAATTAATGGCGCCACGGTGAGGAGAGACAATCTCTTTGTGATTGGAGAGTTGAAGAGATGATGCTCTGTTCGATCGAATACGACTGATGAAAGAATTAGGGCGTAGTTTTCCCGATTGTCTATCTCCGATCTCCTTCCACATTCTCCTCGCATCTTCTTCTTCCTATTACCCCAATCGAATTTCTGTTTAAATCAACAATTCCCCTTTGATACGAGTTCTAAATTCCAGAGATTGAAATTAAGGATATTGGTGCTAATTGTGCAAGCGTGAGGGAGTAACGTGAGAGAGGGGTTTGCAGCTGAAGAAGATGATTATTTGATTATGTTCGACCGAAATGGGCCGAAATATCGATGGACCTCAGATGGAGCCTACTATTCATCTCCTTTCTACCCTGATGTTAGAATAAATTACACGAATTGTCCTTAAGGTGGGGGGTAATTTGCTTTAGTTCTATAACTCTTCTTTTTTAACTCGAATATCTATTTTAATAAATGAATGTTTTTTTTTATTACATGTTACACTTTTATTCAATTTGTTAAATGTAATTTTGTGGTTATTTTGAATTTGAATTTTTTTTTTTTCCACGTGTCATTTTATGAATTTTTTATTTTATTAAATTTCACATAATATTTTAATGCAATAATTGCAATAAATTAATATCAATTTCATTAATAAACTTAGTTTTTAATTTCAAAATTTCCAAATTAAAGTTCATTAGTTTATTTATTTAAATTATTTGTTTAAATTTAAAAGATAAAAAATATTTCAATTATAATAATTCATTATTTTTCTTATGTTCTTATAAATTCAAAATTTTCAAATATTTTGACATTTATATTTAATTTTTTTTAAAAATTAACTCATATAATACATGAGTCTCACAACTAGTTTTTATTATATGTGCGCCAAAACACACACACACACACACACATATATATATATATATATATATATATATATATATATATATATATATATATATATATATATATATATACGTCGTCCAAATCCTGAAAATATAAATTTCGTAGAAATTCGAGTCCGTATGAATTAGATATTATTTTTATAAAATATAAAAGTCATTCATGTACAAGAAATGTGTGACATTAAAAGGTACGAAGAGAATGATTAACTTTTGAGTAAAGTCACAAAAAGGACAATCGTCGTACTTTTTAAGATAAGAATTTTGGTAAAAGCACCAAAATCGGAGTTCGTACGAGACAGTTATGATTTTTGTAAAATCATTAAATCTTATAAAAATAGGGACGAAAAAATAAAGTAAGAATTAGTTGATGGAGTCTAAAGAAAAGTCGTAGATCTTGTCGAGAGCTTTTCGGGGATATAAAGAACGTCCAAAACGGAGTTCGTATGAAGAAGTTATGGAATTTAGAAAATCTGTGATTTGCGTCCCGCGCAGTACGCGTCGGGTGCGCGACGCGCGCTTCTAGAAGGTGAAAACGCGGACCACGGAGAAGCAGACATGTGTCACAAAGTGATTGGGGAGACGTAGCCTTAAAATGCACGACGTGCACCCCTTTTGCACGTCGTGCACCCCAAAAACGGCTATAAATAGGAGGTCAAACCTCATTCCCTTCCCACACCTTCCAAGATCTTCTCTCTCGAGTTGCTTTCGATTTTAGCCCATTTTCCCTTAGTTTTAGCCTTTGGTGAAGCCCTGCGATCCCTGAAATAGTAGTAGCCAGCAAGTAGAAGCTCTGCCAATGCAATTTCCTAACTTTTGTCAAGAAAATCTATGTAAGTTAAGCTACACTCTATCTTTTTCAGTGTAACTTATATTTATAGTCATAAGTCGTTATTATGAACCTATAAATAAGATTTATCAGTAATTCCATGTCGTTATACTAATTGATCTACTTATGGGGATGATGTCTAGGCTGGATTTAGTGAGGTGTTTAAAGTGGGATTTCCAAACAGTATACTATGTATACCAAACGGACCCTGCCTCCGATATGATCCTACCTGGTTGTCCCTTATCAGCTATAGATCAGTAGAAATTGGGATTGTTGAGGAATCTAGACTATTAATTACTCATAAGAGGTAATAAACTAAGACTTATATATAATTGAACCTAGGTCATATCAAAGGAAAAGCCAAGTGCTAAAACGAAGCAGTGTCCGACTTTCCAGTCATCCACTTTAACAAGTGAGTGCATAGTTATCTTCAACTTACACACGGATATCAAGTATTTAATCTGCTTAAATGTTTTATGTGCTTATTATCTGAGTTTCTGATATTTGTGTTAGATGGGATGATGATTTTTCTAAAATATCATATATGTATTTTACTGTACTCATAATGTATGTATTGGGTAGGACGGGTAGAAAGAGATAAGAGAAATGAGATAACAGTTAGGGACCATAAGAGTAGAGATAACAGTGAGAGACCATAAGAGAAAAAAGAGATAATTGTGAGAAACCATACTAGAGATAGATTAGTGGTGAGAGACCATGCCAGAGATAGGGCGAAGAGACCATGCCCAACAAAGATCAGTCATCAAGCAGAGTATTGATGGCGACCACGGACTATTCTAGACAGTCCAGTGGAACACCAGCTGACTTGCAATCTGTATGTGTTAATGAAATCACACAAATCGAGAGTATGGATTGTGGATTCATTTGAGTACTCTATTTTTCCTTGGGTGCCTTATCAACGTGTAACCCTTAGGGTAGAACGAGAGAGAGATAGAGAGAGATAGAGAGAGAGAGAGAGAGAGAGAGAGAGAGAGAAAGCAAGAAAGAAAGAAAGAAAGAAAGAAAGAAAGAAAGTAACGGGAATGGGTAATCGGGTTAACTGTTTGGTGTGAATTATATAAAGAGATAAATTATATTATTATGGGTTAAAAAACAATATGTACTCATCAGGTTTCCCAACCCAACCAACTCAGTTTATTGTATCACAGGTAATTATATATGATGATATAGGTATCTGTCGAGAGATTCAAAAGAGATATAGACTATTAGTATAAAGAGATGTTGTAAGTCTTCGTTTATGCTTATGTTTCTTGTATTGACGATGAAATCCAAGTTTTATAAATAAAATACATTTCTTGAGAATATCTTGATAATATTATTATCATATTTTTGGGACAAATTATGCAAAGTAAATCCTTTTTAAATGATACTCTGATTTAATAGGCATAAACAAATCGGTCTTTTCTGGCCGAAAAAATTAGGATTTTACAGGAGGAGTAGGGTCACTGCTCGAAGATGGTTTGTTGGATAAGATGACCTCATCGAAGATGAAGAGATTTGACTGGTGTTGGAGGCGGGGAACGGATAAGTGGGAGGAGGTGGGGCATGGTGGGCCTATTTTATTTTACAAAATTATAAATAAAATATAACTAATTAAACATAAAAAAGAAACAGATAAGGGTAAGTCTTTTTGTGTTTGGTAGGGAAGAAGTGTGTAACAAAATAAATTTTAAGGGACCATTCAAGTTTTTTTTAAGTTAGAGACCATAGACGTAAATTCTCTCTAACCACAAAGACCATTCCCATAATTTATTCCCAATGTTATTATCTTTTTGTTTTTTCTTCATGGACACCCTCCTTTTTATTTCTTTTCCTTTTATTTTTCTTATGTATATAATAAAATTACCATAAAAGTTATTTTTCTCAAAAAAAATTATACAAAATAATTAAAAATCAGAAAAATAACCTTAATTGTTATAAATTTCGTAGGCCGTCATCTACGAAAATCCACGTGCCCAATGAAAATCCTTGTGGCCTGCAAAAATTCATGTCGCGTGCAAATATGTAGTACGCGAAAATCCATTTTTTGTTTCAAACTTGGAACCTTCATAACTCATTCATATGAAGTCTGTTTCGGCTAATTTTTGTAACACTTGGATCCTTGTAAGTTTCTTTATTGCCCTCATTGTTTTAATGTTGCGTATTTTGATCCTTGTGTTGTATGTGGGGCGTACCACATGGTACACTTAGCGTACAAGCTGTAAAGCGAGTACGCGGGGCGTACCACATGGTACGCTTAGCGTACTCATGCGAGGCGGGATCGGGACTCTGGACACGTACGTTGGGTGTACGGGTATGTACGCGGTGCGTACGTGAGTCATTTAGAAACCCTAGTTTTCAGGGTTAGGCACTATATAAACATCATTATGGATCATGAAACCCTCATTTCTCAGCCTTCATTGTCCCTATAGCCTCAAGAACGAAACCCTAAGCCTATCCTTTGTGTTTTGAGCTCATTGTGTTTATTTTTGGTGGTTTTGGTTCATATTCAAGAAGTAGAAGCTTGGTACAAGGTGGTGGATCAAGGAAGAGCTTTTGGATCTCGTTTATTTGCTTAATTTCCAACTTGTTTGAGGTAAAAAGTTATGAACTTTCTCATTAGTAACCTTAGATCTATCATTTGTGTGTGTTTTGGTCCCTTTTGTCCCCAAGAATGAGATCTAGTGGTTTGGTACCACTCTAGGAGCTTTGAGTTGCCACTCTTGGTATTTCTGAGGTTCTAGATGCATAAAGTTGACTCCTTTAAGGTTTATATTCATCCATTCAAAAGTTTGTGTCCATTTGATGAAAGTAGGGCGTTATATTTTGGAGTTGGGTCTTTATGGGGCATGCAAAGTCACCAAGTTAGTGACTTTATGGTTATAGACGCTTAACAGGACTTGGATCTATGGTTTGGGCTTCTGTTCTTAAGCATTAAGAGCTTAAGGTTGATTTTGGCTTAATGGTTGAGTTCGTTGGGCGTACAAGTCAGTACGCGCGGCGTACAACCAAAGTTGCGTGTACGCTTAGCATACAGCTGAGTACGCCCCGCGTACTCAGTCTGATGGGCTTCGCAGTTTTTGGGCCTCAGTTGGGTCATTTCCTTGGACTTGTTGCTTTGGGCCTTATTGGGCCACCTGGAATCAAACTTTTGGGCTAAGAGTTTGGACTAGGAAAATTGTTGGGCTTTAGGGTAAGGCCCATAAAGGGGTTTGGGCTCAATTTGGAAAATTGGGCCATAAGTGGGCCTTGGTTGATTATTTTGTTTTGGGCCTTTCGGATATTAAGTTTGGGCCTTAGCCTTAGGCCAAACTAGGTGAGGGGTAAAATGGTCCTTTTACCCCAAGTATGGATTGTTGGATTTATGGTCATAGATTGGAACCCAAATATTTATTGGGTGCTATTTTTATATTGATAGCTCGGGGATTCGTCTGGGCAGCAGCTAGGGTTTTGCAGTGAGATTCAGCAGTTGAGGTGAGTTTCCTCATTGGTGTAAGCGGGTCTAAGGCACCAATGCCTGCCCTTATTGATTATGCTAGGATACTAGGATTCTGCATGACGCTTGCTTATGTTATATGCTTCT